CCCAGGAGTGCAATTGCTGGATCATATGGTAGCTCTATTTTCAACTTTTTGAGGAACCTCCATACTGTTTTCCAGAGTGGCTGCACCAGCTTGCATTCCCCATGATGGTGATTTTACTGCAAGTATACGTTTAGTAAATCCTTACTAGCTAGGCAGACGATGCTCAGTAAGAAGAGCTGCAGGATTAAGGAAGGTGTACATGAGATGTTGGGAGTGGGAATGTTTATTTAGTACAGGGAGGATGATTTGTAAATATATTTGCTTGCAGTGATATTTATATTTCCACTCTGAAGCCTAATAATTTGTTTAAAGATAAACTCTTCTGATTGAAGAAGCAGTTAATGTCCACTGGGTAATAAGATTTTTCACAGCAATATTTCATATCTAGTCAATATTTTTATGTCACTAGTACTGTTTAAAAAGATTTTTATTACTAAATTCCTATAAAATATACTGCATTAATATTCTACTGAAGGTGCAGAATTTTAAGTAGAAGGGATGAGTGAATGCATGTTTTAATAAAACCCAATTTTTTAACTTGTCACCATCTTTCTCCGTTTGTTAGTCATGGTATAGACCAGTACTCTCCAACTTGATAGATATAAAACATGCATGTGTGTACTGTCCTATGTCATATACACAGAAAAATATACAAAAAAGGAGGGCAGCATAAGTATGAAATAAAGAATACTTTTGTAGAGATGGCCTTGCCCATATACCACTTTTGAGATCATTGGTATAGAGTTTAAATATAAGCTGTACTTTATGCAATAAGGAAAATGTAAATAGTAATGTAAATGTGAATGTATAAATAGTATGTCTCAGTTTTATAAGAAAAAGTCACTTACATGTTTCTAAAAAGTGGGGCTGCTGATTATGCCTGGCATGTTTCCAAATTTTTACAATGAACATGTATTACATTTAAGTTCAGAAATGAGTAGAGCTTGGGTTAGACGAGTAAGTGTAAACTGCATCCTGTGAAGAGGATTCTGCTATAAACTTTAAATACTTAAAAATATTTAAATATGAAATAAAACTTAAATATTTAAATTCATGATAATTTTTCTGCATGGCGTTTTATCCACTGTCATCTGTCTTTGGTTTCTTCCTTCCAAGTGTTCCATTGACCTCAAGAAAAATGTACTCGTGATCGGCACCACAGGCTCTCAGACCACCTTCCTTCCCGAGGGAGAGTTACCAGAGTGTGCCCGATTGGCATACGGGGCTGGGCGAGAGGATGTGCGGCCAGAGGAGATCGCAGACCAAGAATTAGCAGAAGCTCTTCAGAAATCCGTAGAGGATGCAGGTATTTGCAGTGGCCAAGCTCTCGAATAACTTTTCTTGTTATTGGTTGGTGAGCGGGGGAGGTTGGATCTTCAGAGGGGTTGGGGACCTTTTCAGTTTCTAATCCGTGTCATTGTCCTGTCATGGATGTGTTCCTTGTCCTCTCACCACCTCTCCCTATCTCTGAATCCAATAAAGAAAACCTTGGTGTTTCGACAGATCCATTGCTGTGTTACCAGGTACATCAGGGAGTTATTTGCTTAAGCACATTTTGGTAGGCTTCCTTAAAAATCTTGTTTCTTTTTTCCTAACAAAAATTACTACAGGGGCACTTGGTTGGCTCAGTTGGTTGAGGGTCCAACTCTTGATCTCAGCTCAGGTCTTGATCTCAGGGTTGTGAGTTCAAGCCCCGCACTGGGCTCCATGCTAGGTGTGGAGCCTACTTTAAAAAAGAAAAAAAAAATTAAGCAGACATTTCCTTTTGAGTTCTACAGTTTCCCTGAAAATTTATTTTCCTTTTCTTGGGCCCATTTCCTTTGAAGGAAAGCATTGTTGTTGTGACTAAGCAGTCCCAGCCTTTTTAATAGGTACTGAAAGTGTTGCCACCATAGACAGAGGAACCGACAATAAGATGCATAATTGAACACTAATCAAACTACAGTGTTTATGCTATTAATGAGATTGCATAGTGTGTCCTTGGGCCAAATTAGAACAGTAGATCAGCTGTTGACATGGGGATACCTAATCATTTTTTCGTTAAGTCTCAGTTGTCATGGCTTGTTTAAATCTAAAGACCAAGCCAAGTTTTCTGGGCTAAGTGGAAGGACACATTTTTGCTGAAATCCTACCTTCATGGCATAATTTTTCCCCATCTGTTATAAAACAGTGACTCTGGGATACATTTTCTAGAAGCTGAAGAGAATTCACTTTTAAGGTGGGGTTATTTTAAAGTCTTGAGCTGTAATTATTCATCAGTGACTAATATCACACACTGTGTGTTCTGGTATAGCAAAATGTATTAGAGCTACAAGTCCAGGGAATAGCTTTCTCCTAAAGACAAAAAAGATAAGATCTTTAAAAAATAAGCAGCCAGATTTTGCCAGTGTTTTTACTTAGAGAACACCCAGAGGTCTAGCCCTGAGCCTCTTTAAAATGGGTGTGGGTAGCAGACAGAGTTTTCCAAGCTGGCCTTGTTCCTAATCACCACACCTTTTGGTACCTTTGAGTTTTACATATAAAGTACAGCTTTGGTTGTGACATAACTGTTTTGCAGGAAGGGGAGAATTCTGAACCACCAGATAGAGACTAAATTAATAGTTTTAATTTTCCCTGCAAGGCAAGCTTGACTGAGTTTGACATACCCACTTAGAAGGTTTTACCTGTTTTTAGTAACTTGTCAGCTTAGTCATAATACTGGGTATTAATAAAATGAAGATGTATTACCATCTTGTGAAATCTCCATTTTTCCCCCACAATTTGGTGTTTTTATTTGAGAAGCACTAGCTGATGATAGCAATGCTTTCTAACCCACTAACAGTTACCCTCTTTGGGTAATAACCTTCTTGTAATAAAAAGTTCAGGAAATTAAAATAGAAACCACAGGTGTTTTCAGCATAGTGAAGGGAATGTACCAATTGAAAGGATTAAAAGGAGGTGTGTACCTGGCTGGCTCAGTCGGTAGACCGTGAGACTCCTGATCTTGGGGTCATGTGTGTGAGTCCCACGTTGGGCTTAGAGATTACTTTAAGGACATGAAAAGTAAAATTAAAAAATAAAAATATTTTTTAAAAGGATTAAAAGGAAATGGGTTTTTTCCCATGTGCCTTTTTGTTACTGATGATACGTGGCTTGTGCTAATTTTTATAATGTTTAAGTAGTGAAATAATTCTACATCACGTCCTGTTTGTTTGGAACACCAGCTTCCCAGTATCATCAAAATCAGAACTCTGGCCATAGTAGATGAAAGTATTTTTGCTAAAAACTTTGGTGGATACCTTATACCAGAGTGTCTTTATCTTTTCTATCAATGGAAAAATAAATCCGAATAGGAGCTGTATCTAATACATCTTCTAAAAACTGGCTAATAGATAAGCCAGGGTAATCCAGGTTGGTTTGTTTTTCTTCTAAAAATAAATCTCAACTGAGTAGGAAATTTGGAAAGTGACTGTTACAAGCGTTCGCTCACCTTTAAGATTTCCATACCGTGTGATTCCATCTATGGGTCTGCTGTTCTCCACCCGTCCCACATGTCTGCCCGTGAATTCTGTGTGTGTGGGTGTGTGAAGTTCATTTCTTTCCAAGTTCTTTTGAAAAATCTGTTGAAGTTGACACATTGCTTTATGTATTGTGAGAGAATTAAACCAACTAGACTACAGAAACATTCCCCAAGCTTGACTCTACCAGTTCCTGATTATAAAGGTGGCAGAGGAATGGAGACAAAACCCTGCATGCTGTGTGGTTTGCATTGTTAACCCAAGTTTGCTTGTCTGTTTCCTAATTCAAACAGAGCGTCAGAAGCCATGATGCATGTAGTGTGTGTGTACTGCAGCTGGAGTGGGCCCCAGACCAGGTATTTATAGACACCACGTTAAGCCTTCCATCCAGTTATCGTCTGTGGTCTGAAAGTCTCTGTATCTGCAGCAGTTTTGGAATTTAGCTTCTGCCATCCATTTCACCTTGTTTAATCTGGTTACAACTAGCCTGTATATGCATCTGTGTGTTGGCATACGTACGTAACTGAGCGCAATTTCCTATGCAAAGTTTTCTCAGCCATTGGAACAGTCCAAGGAAGGGAGGGGAAATCCCAGGAAAAACGGCCCATCTGGCCATGGTGAATATATCAAATCAAGAATGTCAGCACCACAGTGCATTGTTGTTGGGGTAACTACACCATCAGGGGTTTCTTGAGTCTGTTTCTTCTGAAAACCTGAAAGTTCTTTTTTCCTAGCACTGCACACAACCACATAGAGTTAGAGACAGGTAGAAATTGCCAGTCCACTGAGGAAGAAGTGGAAGCCTAGACCAGCTGACTTGTCTAGGGACACAGGTTCACTAACGTGGGCAGGACTGAGGTTTTATTCTCCCACAAAGAAGAGCTGACACTTGGCTCTTCCGTCTCTCCCTAGCCTGACAGACTCTCCCCCGGAGGCACTCTGCCCCCGTTTCCCTAGAGTGTAAATCTGGGAGACAGCAGCCTGAGCGTACCGGCTGATTTCTCAAGAGGAAGAACGAGTCTTTAAACTACCAACCTTAGACTGTATAGGGGTTTGCAGGCTGGTTGTAATTAGATACCTAGCACTCAATTTCTTCTTTTTTCCTTTTTCCTTACCAAGGTGGGGTAAAAGTAGGCATGGTTTAATTAGCCTTCATATCCATTGTCCTCATCCCCTTCTCCTACCCTATAGTACTGACCCGGTGCTCCCCTAGTTAGGACTTAGGCCAGTGAGACTGACCCTCTCAGCTACAGGAGGACTGTGTGCTGCTTTCATAGTGAGTACCAAACACATGGAGGCCGTGTTCTCCTTGACGTCACTCAGTCGTCCTCACTGGCACGTTGGTGCCAGAAGGCCCCTCACATGGATACTTCACTGTAACGCATCTTCTCTGTTGGCATTAACTCGCAGTTGAACCTCTAGAGTTCTAGAGTCAGCTCTAGAGATTGATAAATAAAACTAATCACTGTGTTTCTAGGCACTAATGGGTATAATTTGCACTGAAATAAATACTGTTGTCCCGTTTACCTCTAAACTATCAGATTGTTTTTGCAAGAAGTCAGTAACTTCCTGACGTAGTTAGTGCTTTATCTTCTCCTGCTGTTAACCAGTGTTGCATTAGAATGATCTAGAGCTGTTTGAATCCTAACTGGATTGCTTCGTGCCTTCTTAACGATCAGGCCCACCACATTGGATGTTAATCAGCATGAAGCATTTGAGTTACATCTGCCCTAATAGATTGTATTGTGAAGTAATCTTTGTTACCAGCCTTTGGCATTTAATTAAAGATCTTACAGTAATTGCGGTAGAGGTCGATGTTTAACTGGATCCGTGGCAAAAGGCGGGTTGGAGTGATGATTAATGGTGTCATGAGGTGGTGTTTGAGCCTGCCATCCTGTGAGTGCTCAGTTAGTTGCAGTCAATCTAAATTGTCATTGCCTGGCAAAAAACCATTACAAACTATCTCCCTCCACTGCCAGGACCACCCCCTACCGTGCCCTTAAAGTACTTAAATGTTCTCACTTAGTTGTACTATGTTAATGTGATAAAGTAACTGATAATCCTTTCTAAAGTTGCCCTATTTGGTAAGGTGATGATTGGATTTAATCTGTTTGACCTTTAGCCTTATTTTTGTTCTTTGACTCCACACTCAACGTAGTTTTATCCTGATTTTCAGGAAGTTTGGATAGAAATGAATTAAATGGGACGTTTCTCTGTCTTCTGGAGATTCCCAAGCGTATTCTCCTTTCTCATTATAATTTCCACTCTGTTCCAGATATACCCGGATTTAGAATTGTCGTTTAGAACCTTCGTGTTCACATTTGAAACCCTGAAAGTGCCTTGACATGAGAATTGTTCAGTGTAGAGATCCTCAAAATTTGTGACATGCTTAAGAATCACCTGAGGAGCTTATTGAAAATGCATATTCATGGGTTTACTCCCAAGGATGAGTGCCCCTGAGTGTGCACGCTTAGCAAACATGCCAGGTGACTTCAGGGCAAGTGATAGAATACACTCGGAGAAACTCTATTCTAGAGTTCTGAGCTCACTGAGAATAAAGATACATCCTTTTCCCTCAGTCTTGAGCACTAACCCAGCCACTATGTGGATGTTTATTAATGGTACTTAAAGAAAAATACTGAATTAGAGTGCACATGTTTTATTAAGAATGTACCTACCTCTTATTCTGATCCTGTGATGTTAAATTGTCTACCCCAGTGGGAATGGTTCTTGTATAAGTCTATGAATATAAGACAAACCCAAGTTTAAGGACCTAATTTTGTTCTGTCCTGTTTAGATTTGTATCATCTGATAATTTAGTGGCCTTTGTAACCTGCTGATTAATCTCCTTTCCTTTTTGGTCCATATAGAGAAAAGCGGTAAAGAAACTACCTCACTGGGAATGTCATCATTACCAACTTCAGATGGATTTAACCATCCAGCCCATCCTTCAGGACAGAGTCCTGAGATTGGTAATCCTATGAGTCTTGCTCACTCTGTCTCTGCTTCAGTCTGCCCTATCAAGCCCAGTGACCCCGACAGCATCGAACCTAAAGCTGTGAAGGCTTTGAAGGCTTCAGCTGAGTTCCAGATAACCTCTGAAAAGAAAGAACATCTTCCTCTGCAGGATCTTTCTGATAGTGCTTCTTCAGCAGACAGTGCTCCAGCAGACCAGAGTCCAGCCATACCTTTGCAGAATTCCTCTGAAGAAGCCATTGTTGCCGATAATATGGAGAAATCTGCTGAAAGAAGCACCCAGGGCCTCAGATCTCATCTCCACACAAGACAGCAAGCTAGTGTATCTGTCACAACTACTAGGGTGCAAGAACCACCAGGGTTTCTAGGTGAGAAGGGTTGGCATCCAGAAAATCAGAACCTGCATCAGGTGAATGGCCTTCAGCACAAAGAACCAGGGAATGAACAGCACGGGGTTGGACAACTGAATGCTCTAAACGACCGAGAACATCTCTGTAACGCAGAGGACTTTGAACTTCTTGGAGAAAGGCAACAGAATCAACAAAGAAGTGTTGATTTGGAATCGACAATGAAAGAAGACCAGCTACAACAGAATGCGGACCCTCCAGGTACAGAGGAAAGTACTCTACCTTCAGGATGGTTTGGCTGCTCAAAGTCAGAAACATTTATGGAAGTAGATACAGTTGAAGAGTCCCTAGTTGCTGTGCTTAATTCAGCAGATGGTCAGCATGCCAGTGTCAAGAACATCGGTGCATCTGCTCTCACCTTAGATAATCCCTTGATGGAAGTAGAAACATCAAAATGTAACCCTTCGTCTGAAATTTTGAGTAATTCAGTTTGCACTCAGGATTTACAGTTCCCAGACAGCAATGTTGAAATGTCTGGAACAAGTAAAGAAGATGGGGATTGCTCCCCCTCTTTAAGTCTTTGTGGCAGTTCTCAGCCCTCTGTGGAGTCAGCAGAGGAATCATGCTCATCTCTAACAGCAGCCTTGAAGGAACTCCATGAACTTCTGGTCATTAGTAGTAAACCAGCTTCAGAAAATATATCTGGGGAAGTTATCTGTCAGTCCGAAATGGTAACTGAGGGCCAAACAGTTACTAAGGACCTTTCTGAAAGATGGACCCAAAGTGAGCATCTTACAGCTGCCCAGAATGAAGAGCATTCACAAGTCACCTTTCATCAGACCATATCTGTATCGGTGAGGGCAGAGAAGTTACCAGACACTTCAAATGGTGCTGGAGTAGATGCAGTAGAAAATAGTACTGTAAGGGGTCCGGGCGATGGCCTAGTAACGGATAAGGAAAGTGTCCCCAAGCCTAGGGAATCTGGAAAGGAGAGCAGCTCTGCCACTCTAGCCTCAGCTAAAACGTCTAATCAGTCACACTGCACCTTAGGTGTAGACATTCCACGCAAACCCTTAGCCGGTGAGGAGGATGCAGTCAGTCACACTTCTGAGCAAGCGAAGTCCTTGTCCAATTTCATACTGGTTCAAGATTTGGGTCCGGGCACACAGAAGCCAGTGCCAGACAGGCCTGAGACCAGAGAAGATGTCTGTCCTGAAGCTGCAGGACGACTTCTTGAGTTTGAACCACCTCCCAGCCAGCCAGCATCAAGTCCCTCCATTCTTCCACCATTAATTTTTCCCGCCGCAGACATTGACCGCATTCTCCGTGCTGGCTTCACTTTGCAGGAAGCTCTTGGGGCTTTGCATCGAGTTGGTGGAAATGCAGACCTTGCACTTCTTGTTTTGCTAGCAAAGAACATTGTAGTTCCTACATAACCATGGAAAAGGGGGCTAGACCATACTCCATTCCCTTTAAAAAAGCTATACACGCACACACACATACACACACACATACACACTCACCACATATACAGTGTATGTAGAAACCTGCAAGCAGAATGTTGAGCCAGATTTTTTTTAAGGATTTTTTTCGGCCAAAGTAACTTATCTCTTGTCTGATGAATTTGTCTATTCTCTTTGTTAAAATTTGGGCCTTTTTAAATGTATTGGCAGTAATGTGCATACAAAAGCTTTTTATTATCATTAAGATGATGTATTCTGGAATAAAATTGATGGTTTCGTGTATAGCATACCATTTTAGAATGAGAGTGAATGCTTTAAAAAGCAGAAGCCATGAGAAATCCCACCGCCCATGCAGCTAAAAGCAAATCAGCTTCCCATTTTGGCTTTGTCTGTACTGTAGGCAAGGTATGGCTTGTTGGCTCAGTTGTCCATTTACAAACTGGATCACATGGTTTGGTGTTTGGAATTACACTTAGTGCTCTGTGTATTGATGATTCATCAGTTAACAACAGGAAATTGAAGAGTAGTTGACTAATATCTCCTAGAGTGGTATGTTTTTATTTGTTTGGTTAGGATTTGACCTTTTTATGGGATGAGGTGGGAGGGTTTAGAACTTGGGCTGCTTTGTGCATCATAGGCTGCTGCATGGATTGCCAAGTATTTGGGGTGGGACACTGCGGGGGAGGGGCGGGGGAGTCAACATCAGAGTGAAACATGGTGCTACCCAGATAGAAAAGGGAAGAGTCTGTAATTCCATTTGCAATTATCCTGGTGATGTTTCAAGAACTAGGAGTGAAAAATGGCCGAAACACTGGAATTGATTAGAGAGTGGGTTTGCTAGCATCTTACTGATCACACCTCAACCTTTAGTGATTAATGAGGAACTTAAAAGATCTGCTAACGGGTTGATCGCCAGCAGTTTATTTCCTTTAGAAGCTCATCTACTAGGAACTTCTTCTAAAGCTCAGGTTGAGCTGTGATCTGAGTGAAATAACCTTGTCACTGGTTCATCTTGGTGCTTGGAATGGTCAGTCTCTTTGTTGAGTGTCCTTCGTGGCACCAGAAATAGTAACTGCAGTTTCTGACTCAAGTGGCCTTGGGTAGAGATTTCCATCCCTTTCTTTCCTCAGGAGTTTCTTTTTTAAAGCAAGATGCATCATATTTGTGTTTACCATGTCAAGGTAGAGTGGGGCATAGTATATAGAAGTATTTATTGTGGCCTTTTTTTATATGAGGACTAGCCCTTGGAAACCATTGTCCTGTGGGCCCCACTGTGCAATAATCCTACTGGATAGATTTTAGGTAGTTTTTCCTGAAGAATAAACTCTTACGTACCTAGCAGGAATCCGAAATCTTGGTTTTATTGAAAAGAATCTTGAGAATAACTCCCGATTCCAAGTTCTGGTTCGCAATGTGTTTGAAATAGATGTTTTGAAAGGGTGATTCGTGAACTTAGTGTTAAATGATTTTGTCTAAAGTCTTACTCTCTTTGGAAGCTTATTCTTTCCATCAGAATTCGAGTCATTGAGCACAATCAAAATGGAGGCTCATATCTCAGGAGTTCTTGAAATTTTAATTTGGGGGCACTTAGAGACGTTTCTCTTCTACCCTATTCCATCTTTTCCTTTTGCTGTGATATTTGTCTGTGTGTTATGAGACTTTAGTGATGTGATGGAAAGTCACATAGATTCATCATGATCCTCTGAAGTTAGGAGATGGTTGACAGAAGGAGTTGTGGTTTACTGTTTTCAAGAGGGCATTCAGAACAGCGGGTCAGCCAGGTTGTCTTTAAGATACTCTTTTAGACAATCACATGTTGCAGACCCTTTTGCCTGCCCCACACCAAAGATGTAAGATGCACTAGGAAACTGCATATAGGATTTCTGTCAACCGACTCTTAGAGCTGTGATTGTAATTAAGTAGTTGGTGCTATGATTGAAGCAAAATCTAGTAGCAATGCAATGGCCCCTGTATTTGCTTTATGGGTGGTAATTGGGAATTTATTCTAAGCTTATAAATCTTTGAGGTCGCGAAGTGGGGTTGGTATGAGGTGGGGGAAGTTACCGATGACAACAGACTCCTCCAAAAAGGCCTCTGCGTGAAGATGGGCCTCATAGGCTCTGTCTGGGTGGTGGTGTACTGCTCAGAGGCTTGGCCGCTCAGTTTTCACAGTGCAGAGATTTGGGAATCAATCCCAGGTGGAATATAGGATATCAGCCCGGAAAAGGTTTTATTATAATAGCTTTTTACTACATATGTGTATTTATTTTTAGGAGGAAATTGAATAGGCCTATAGTTGTACATGTATTCTTGTTAGTAGTACTTTGAATGAATGAGCTGAACCCACTTGCCAGATATCCTTGTCCTTTTTCATCATTTATTTTTCAGTGTATAATTGCTTCGATTTTTAAAACCTTATTTCCTGTTCCATCATTTGTATGAAAGTGAAGTTGTTGACATTGTTAGGATTTTGAATCATTTTTACATTTTGCAGTTCTTAAAACACAAAGGGAATTAAGGAACATGACACTAGTGAACCTTCATTGTCAGTTTTTTTGAAAGTGCAGAAATTTGGGGCGCCTGGCTGTCTCAGTCAGAAGAATATGCGACTCTCGATCCCAGGGTCGTGGGTTCGAGCCTCACGTTGGGTGTAGAGATTACTAAAAAAAAAAAAAAAAAAAGTTAAAATAACCTTTTTTTAAAAAGTGAAGAAATTCAAGATTAACTTCTCTTAAAATAAGATAAAATCATTGTGAACTCCTCTGGTAGCTAAAATACGGATACTGGTCAGCCATAAACAGTAATGGGCCACTTTACTGACAGCTTCTTTGCCACAACCAGTAACGGACGGTTCTGTGGTCAGCACTCACCTCCAAGGGTGGTCTCTGTTTATTCACCAAAGAGAGGAGAAGATTGTCCTGTATGACTTCTGCAGTTTACCCTAAGTTGATTCGCGTGTGTAGCAATGTGCTTGGTGACCTGACAGCCGTGCCAAGGCTGCAGATTTTGCTCATTGGAGCTGATAAGAATGATTTCCACTTGTACCTGTTTAGGCCTCCAGACATCAGCCAGTAGCCTTCATCCCACAGTTTGGGCCTTAGCCATTAACATATAACGATAACCAGTTGCTTGGCAAAGAGAATGGGATAGATGGTGGGTGTGTGTTAAAACTGTTCTGCCTTGGAGCCTATGAAACCTCCCAGAGCTCCTTGTCTCCATATGTACTAAAGGAAGACACAACCCATGTGTTTTTTCCCCAAAGCATTTCTCCAGTGAGAGAGGGTTGCATAAAAATGGAAAGATGTATGAGACTCTGTGTCACCGATTTTATAACTAGTTAAAATGGAATCTGCCTGTTCTTCCCTTAGCACAGCTTTCTATCTCTAGTAAAAGCCATAAAAACTTAGTTGATTTAACCATCAGCTCGTGTGTGTGTGTGTGTGTGTGTGTGTGTGTATGTGTATATATATAATATGTGTGTGTGATTGACAAATACCGTACAGTTAATTTTACATAGACTGAAAAGCAAACAGTTTTTGTATCTACAGATATATTCTCCACTTACGGTGGCTTTTATCCCACCATATATATAAAAACAGCCTTGCAAATAACTGGCCAGGAAAGTTACAGTGCATTTAGACTTCCTTTTCCTACCTGTTTGCCGCCTGTAATGAGAGCAAGCAGGATAATTGAACTGCAATGTATTTCAAACTTGTTATCACTGGTAACATATCCTAAGAGAAGCTAATTAGATTATGCATTCTTCTGTTCTCTAGCACAAATACCAAAAAGCCAAATTTCTCCTTTGAATTTGGTGACTTAGTATAGTCTGGCTGAACTAGAAAGAAACAAGTTATTAGGAGTTTCCTTTCCCAGAAGATGGAATGTTAACCTTTTTGTGTTAGGAGTTCCATAAAATAAAAAATAGCTTTTTTTCTGAAAGAATAAAAAACTCCAGTTCCTCTTAACAACAAAGTACATTCGAAGCGTGGTCCTTGAGAACTAGAAATGTAAAATCATGGCTTAAGTTCTATACCTTAGAGGCCTCTCAGTGTTAGTAAGGTGTTCCTAGGAGTTCATTGAATAAATAATTTAGGGGTAAACCTTTGATGTACTTGATTTTCTCTTGTGCCTTAGTTTCTCCAAATAGCAGAAGCGTCACATTTTGGTGGGAAATGAAAGTGGAAGTATCGGAGGGAAAGTTTGAAAATGTCCTTCCTAAAGATAGAGGCTATGCATGGAGTGGTCCTAAGACTCACCCTCATTGTTAATTCAGAATTATCCTGCACCAAATCTTTAGACTTCCCTAGATAGAAGAATTATAATAGGGCTTTTTTGCATCGGGAGTACCAAAAAAATGGTTTCTAGATGTTTATTATGTTGTTTGTTGCACTATCTGTATTGTGGTGGTTAAGACAGAATTCGAGAAAATCTGTCTGGTGCTCTTGAAGGCTATACAGTATGAGTCTTTGAATGAGATTTCATTGATTCATGGGGTGCCTGCCTGGCTCAGTCGTTAGGACATGCAACTCTTGATCTTAGGATTGTGAGTTCGAGCCCCACATTGGGGGTAGAGTTTAGTTAAAAAAAAAAGTGTGTATTGATTTATTCATCAGACATTAAGTGCCTGTGTGCCCAGTACTGGGGAGCACTGGGGATACAGGGGTGACTAAATCAGATTGGAAGCCTGCCCTTGTGAAGTTCTGTCTAGTAAGGAGACATGAAACAAATTTTAGCTTTAAGAGCAAGATCTGTTTTTGCCTATTAGCATGGTCTTATTTTCAAAGTCATATTAGAATGATATGGTTCAAATTCAGAGGAGATTGGGAAAATTAGGCTCAAAATGGAATTAGATGCTGTGAGCCTAAAACTGCTCTAAAAAGTTATTATTTATAATAGAATCAGAAACCAACAAAAAACGTTCTGGCATTTGATAGAAATACTTGAAGAGGTCAGTATAAATTATTTGGAAATAATTTATGCTACCGGGGGACAAGGGGATATGGGCAGGATAGAAGTGCAAGTAAATGGGAGATGATCGCAGATACGCACCAGTGACAGCTTTTCCTCCCATCAGGACACCCTTCCACGCAGGATAGGAATGTGGAGTGTGCTGCGGCATCCTCCCCACTCACCCTTTGAGCACGGCTGCTCTGGAATACAGACCATCTGGGCCAACAGGACTTAGCAGAGGATCCTGCAGGATTTGCTGTTTTAAAACAGCTGAGTGCAAGATGTGGAAATGGGAATCTAGAGCAGAAAACGTAGCAAGCGATGGCACCGGATGGTGGGCAGGA